ATTTCTGAAGAACTGATACATTTCTTCCATGTTGTCATTTTATTTTGTTTTGCTTTGCTTTTTTGAGACAGAGTTTTGCTCTACTGCCCAGGCTAGAGTGCAATGGCGCAATCTCAGCTCACTGCAACCTCCCACTCCCTGGGTTCAAGCTATTCTCCTGCCTCCACCTCCTGAGTAGATGGGATTACAGGCATGCGTCACCACGCCAGGCTAATTTTTGTATTTGTAGTAGAGACAGAGTTTCACCATGTTGTCCAGGGTGGTCGCCAACTCTTGACCTCAGGTGATCCACCCGCCTTGACCTTCCAAAGTGCTGGGATAACAGGCATGAGCCACCACACCTGGCCTATGTTGTCATATTTATGAGCATAAAGTTGTTGACAAGATTTCCTTATTATACTATTAAATGGATGGTGGAGTGATATTCCCTGTTTCATTCCAGATATTGATGATTTGTCATCTCATTTTATATTTTTAATCAATATTGCTAGACGTTTATCAATTTTATTGATTTTTTTCCAAAGAACCCTCTGTTTCATTAGTTTTCTCTACTTTTTCCTATTTTCAATTTTACTGATTTCTGCTTCCAGTATTATTTTCTTCCCTCCACTTAACAGTGGTTTTATTTTGCTCTTTGCTAGTTTCTTAAGGTAGAAAGTCAATTATGGGTTTGCGACCTATTATCCTCTTTAGAGTTAGCATTTAGTGCTACACATTTCTCTACCAGCACTGCTTTAGCTACCTCCCACATGTATTGATACGGTATGGTCTCATTTTCATTAAGTCTATGCACTTCTACTATTGAATTTGAGGCCTCTTCTTCACTCTAGACTTTATTTAGAAGTCTGAGGTTTAATTTCTAAATGATTAGATATTTACCTATTGTCATTCTATTACTGATTTGTAGTTTGGTTTCATTATGGCCAGAAAACATACATACTCAGAATGATTTCAATTATTTTAAATCTGTCAAGGCTTATTTATGGCCCAGGATATGATCTATCTTTCTGAATATTCCATGGACACTTCAGGAAAAAATTGTATTTTGCTGTTTTTGGGCACTATTCTTTTTCTTTTCTTTTTTTTTTTTTTTTTTTGAGACAGAGTCTCACTCTGCTGTAACCCAAGCTAGAGTGTAGTAGCACAATCTTGGCTCACTGGAATCTTCGCCTCCCGGTTCAAGCGATTCTCCTGCCTCAGCTTCCTAAGTAGCTGGAACTACAGGCATGCGCCACCATGTCTGGCTAATTTTGGTATTTTTAGGAGAGACAGGATTTCACCATGTTATCCAGGCTACTCTTGAACTCCTGACCTCAAGCAATCTGCCCACCTCAGCTTCCCAAAGTGTTGGAATTACAGGCGTGGGCCACCGCACCCAGTCTTGTTGAGCACTGTTCTACAGTGTTGCTTCAGTCCTGTTGGTTGATGTTGCTGTCCTGTTCTTCTATATCTGCCAGTAATCATGGCTGGTAATTCTACCAACTGCTAAGAGTGAAGTGATGAATTTTCCAACTACAGTTAAAAATGTGCTTTTCTCTTTTCAGCTCAATCAGTTTTGTTTTATGTACTTTGAGGTTTGCTAGAGACACATTTAGGATCACTGCATTTTTGTTGAATTGATCCTTTTGTCATTACATAATGTTCTTTTTGTCTAATAATTTTCTTTGCTCTGGAGTCTACTGTATTTGATATTAATAGTGACACTCTTTGTTTTGATTAATGTTTGTACAGTTTATCTTTTTATATACTTTATCAACCTATGTTGTTCACTATGTTATGAGTTTCCTAAGAAAACATGTTTTTAGGATGGGTGGAGGAAGATGGTAGAATAGAAAACGCCACCGATCATACCCACTCCCCTGCAGGAAGACTAAGATTGGCAACTATACACAAAAGAAGCAGTTTCACGGGAACTAAAAGTCAGGTGAGCACTTACAGACCATGGTTTTCACTTCATGTGGCTGAAAGAGAACAGTTTGGAAGTTCCTAAAAAAACTATAAATAGAGCTATCAAATGATCCAGCAATCCCACTCCTAGGTATATACCCAAAAGAAAAGAAACCAGTACATTAATGAGACATCTCTGCTCCCATGTTTACTGCAGCACTATTCACAAGAGCTAAGATTTGGAATCAACCCAAGTGTACATTCACAGATAAACAGATAAAGAAAATGTGGTACATATACACAATGGAGTACCATTCAGCCATAAAAAATGAGAGCTCCTGTCATATGCAACAACCTAGACGGAAATGGAGGCACAGAATATTAAATTTTGAATGTTATCACTTATTTGTGAAAGCTAAAAATTAAAACAACTGAACTCATGGAGATGAGGTAGAAAGTAAAAGGACGGTTACCAGAGGCTGGGAAAGATAATGGGGTAGGGTAGGGGGAAGGTGAGGATAGTTAAAGGGTACAAAAAAATAGTTAGAAAGAATGAATAAGACCTAGTATTTGCTAGCACAACAGGGTGACTATAGTCAAAAATAATTTCATTGTACATTTTAAAGTGACTAAAAGAGTATATAACTGGATTGTTTATAACACAAAAGATAAACACTTGTGGGAATAGATACCCAGTTTACCCTAATGTGATTATTAGACATTGCATGCCTGTATCAAAACATCTCCTGTACCCCAAAAACATATACACCTACTATGTACTCACAAAAATTAAAAATTTTAGAATCATGCTTTATGTTTTTTCTATTCTGCCAATATATATTTTAATTAGTGTACTTTTTACATTTAAGGTAAATATTGCTCTGTTAGGCTGCTATTTGTTTTGTTTTCTATAAATATTTTTTATGGAATATAAATATTCCTAAATTTTAGATTCCATCTTGGTTTATTTACAGTGTTTCTAAGTGTACCACATTTTATAGTTTTCTCAGTAGTTGTTCCAGGTATAAAAATGTACGTATGTAACTTATCACACTCCGTCAGGCATTTTACCACTTCAAGTGAAATGTACCAAGTTTCATTCCACTTAGGTCCCTTTACCCTCCCCACTTTTAAAATATAATTGTGTTAAGTGTTTCCCCTACATACAGAGCATTTTGCTCCAACCATCGAAAATGATTCTAGAAACTCATGAGAAAAATATATTTATCCCCATTTCTGCCAACCTCCAATCTTCTTTCTTTCCTGAATTCCAAGCCTTCTTTTGTTATTTCCTTTCTATTTAGAGAACTTTTAGCCAATTTTTAAAGGTAGGTTTGCTAGCAACATTTTCTCTTAGCTTCCCTGTCTAATAATGCCTTTAGTTCCCCTTTATTCATGAATATAGTTTCAAAAGATACAGAATTTTTATTTGATAGTGCTTCTCTTTCAGTTCTTGAGAAAATATACTACTTCCTTCCAGCTACCACAGTTTCAGAAGAGAAATCCACAGTCATTCCCTGTAGGGAATGTGTTGCTTCTCCCTGGCTACCTTGAATATTTTTTTTGTCTTCAGTTTTCAAAGATTTAATTACAGTGGGAGTTTGCCATGGACTTAACTTATTTGATGTTACTTCAGACTTGGGAAAGTGTAGTTTTATAACTTTTGCTAAATTTGAGAAGGTCCAGCCATTACTTCTTCAAATACTTTAAACACCTCTTTCCCTTCTTTCTGATGTTACAAATGTCAGTTCTTTTGTTATTGCCCCATTTTCCAAATACCGAGAGAATCAAACCTCATCCCATTCCCTCCTGCCTTCTGGCTTTGTCTAAGCTACCATAAGGAAAACTACCATAGGCCTTTAATGAGCTCTCTATGCCCTATGCCCCGCCCAACATTTTCTCTACACAGGTGAGAAACATCTTATAGAAATATAAATCAGATGTTGCTCATCTGCTGAAAATCTACCACTAAATTAAAAATAAAATTAACTGAGTAAGGCTTATGATAGGCTCACCTTTGGACTCTAGCTGCCTCCCTCAACTCACCTCCTGCCCTTCTTCCAATCAACTCCTCCTTTCAGTCACTGTGACTTTTTGGTTATTCCTGAAAACCACCAAGCACATTCCTGTCCAAGGCTAGAAGCTGCAACTACTCCTGCTGAAAAGGGACAGAATCCTCATGGCTCACACAGTCATTTCACTCAAGTTTCTGCTCTAATGTTGACCTCATTAAGGTTTCCCCCGACTGTTCCTGAAAGTACTACATTCAGCCAATCTAACTTGCTTTAATTTCTGTCATAGTCTTCAAAACCACAGAACACTTAATACACATAAACATGTAAGTATATATACTTAGAGACATAATTTTTTATATATATATATATTTACTTACTTATTTTTGAGACAGAGTCTCGCTCTGTCACCCAGGCTGGAGTGCAGTGGTGCAATCTCAGCTCACTGCAACCTCTGCCTCCTGGGTTCAAGTGATTCTCCTGCCTTGGCCTCCCAAGTAGCTGGGATTACAGGCACCTGCCACCATGCCCAGGTAATTTTGTATTTTTAGTACAGATGGGGTTTCATTATGTTGGTCAGATTGTTCTCGAACTCCTGACCTCAAGTGATCTGCCCACCTCGACCTGTGCTGGGATTACAGGTATGAGCTACCACGCCCGGCCCAGCCTAATTTTTTTCATTGTCCTCAGCACACAGCAAGTACTCAAAACTTATTTGCTGAGCTTAAAAATGAGGGTATAAAAAAATTATGACGACAGAATAAACACAAAACAATGGAGGTTAAGATGGGACACTGAAAGTGCTTTGAGAAAAATAACCAACAATAGTAAAGTTAAGGTGGGCAAAGACTGAACTATTGGCAGTTGTAAGAATGGTAAACATTCAAAAAATGATTCAAAAAATGATTCAAGAAGAAGAAATTTTTTGTGAGTCGTATCTGGAGGTTTGATTTAGGTATCAGTATTCTCCATCACTTTCAGAGGTTAGGACCCCTATGGAGATGTTCTTGAAAAACGTTCCAAAGTTGCCAATCCCTGAACTAACTACTGGGAAACAACAAATCCCCTGATGTCAATCTGTGTAGTACATATTAAACTCACCTGGAAAGCTCTGGCTTGGGAATTCTTCCTCCAGTCTCCATGGCTCTTCTCCTTGTTCTAGCCTGAAGATCACCTCTGGTTTGTAAACACAATACCCTGTTGACAGGAAATAATTTAGGATTTGGACAAAGCAGTCTAGACCTCAGGCCTTTGAAGCAGGAAGAAGCTTCTGGGGCTGCTTCAAGTTGCCAGTGGAACATTTTCACTGGAGAGGTGAACACAAGTATCTTCCGGTGCTCAGAGGTGATCAATCAACACTGACTCCTGAAGCCTAACCTTAAATATCATTAAACTATACAGACTGCCCATATGTTTCATAATCAAAAGAATAAACAAATGCTATTTAGAATGATACAGTGAACCGACCTTACCCACTGAGACAAGGTTGCTGTAGTTCTCCAGCATCACATCTCTATACAGAGCCCTCTGACTAAGATCCAGGTGCTGCCACTCCTCCTGGCTGAAGCCCACAGTCACATCTTCAAATGATACTGATCCCTGGAACTTCTGTTCTACCTGAAATGTTCAGAATTAGGTGGCATGAAAAAAGAAGTATGGGCTAATCCTTACCATGATTATTATTCAGAGTATTTGTTTTGCTTTATACTTTTAGGGAAAAAAGATCATAACAGAAATATTCTGCCATTAATGCATTAAGATATTAATTCATGCAAAAAAAAAATCAAGTTCCTACAATGTACCTGAAACTATCATCACTGCTAGAAATACTAAGATTAATAAAAATCTTCCTGTGTTCAAAGAACACACAGAGTGGTAAGAAAATATATGTGGTAATACGTTATAAGTACTAAGGTGAAAGTACAAACCCAATAGACTAATGTTAGGAGCAAAGTTAGCTCTGCTTTGAGCTTCACTGAGGAAGTACAACTGTTGGTTGAATTATGAAGAACACTCTGTTATGTTCTTTATAAGCATGGGGCGATGACACAAGCAAAAGTGAGGGCCTGCAACACACTGCAGACTTCAACAAAAGGGCAGACAGCACAGGAGATGGCCTGGTGCTGTCTTGAGAAGAAAAGCCAAGCAAATGGGTTATAGAGTAATTTTAGACCAATGGTCTCCAAAGTATTTGATCATTTACCATTTTCAAGAATATTACTGTGAACTACAGATTTGTATTTACAAATCACAGAAATAAATTGTCAGTACATTTATTATGAATTCTAATTTAATTTTCATTTGGATTTAAAAATGTAGAAAAAGAGCCTGACGTTTTCTTCATCACAATACATATTCTGGGTTCTAATCCTTTAATTCAGAGATAATAATAAGGATGTGTAGAAAATGGAAAGATTTTGGAACTACTATACTTGAAACATCTGTAAGGTACATAGGAGAAGATATCCAATTGGACTGTTCTGGATATCCTCTAGGGCGCATCTTTTAGGGATCACTGCTGTGAAAAAGGGAGAGCCAAAGACGAGATGTGAGCATATACTGAAATTACGTGACCAGGTTTTGTTTACAGAACCAATTCTATTGAGAACGGCAAAGAACAAAACAACATTTACATAAACTACTGTAGAAGAAACCAGGTTGCAAATAGGGCACAGATAATAGGAGACAGAGAGCAACAAAATGTAGTCACCAATTCATTAAGAAAAAAAAATGTTTCCTCTGCCTATCCCCATGAACAGCTGCCCAGATACAAGAGCCACAATGTAAACCAGGAAAGGTAGGGCAAAATAGGTTGGACACAGTATTCTAGCAAGAAATGTCCTAAATATATTAAATTTGACACATAGGTTGGGTGCAGTGGCTCATGCCTGTAATCTCAGCACTTTGGGAGGCCAAGGCAGGTAGATCACCTGAGGTCAAGAGTTCAAGACCAGCCTGACCAAAATAGCGAAACTCCATCTCTACTAAAAATACAAAAAATTAGCCAGGTGTGGTGGCCGGCACCTGTAATCCCAGCTACTCAGGAGGCTGAGACAGGAGAATCCCTTTAACCTGGGAGGCAGACATTGCAGTGAGCCGAGGTCGACACCATTGCACTCCAGCCTGGGTAACAAAAGCAAAACTCCATCTCAAAAAAAAAAAAAGAAGCATAATATGAAGATCAAAGATCAAGAATGAAATAAGGACTACAGAGACATTTATAATATAGTGGGTGTTCAAAGCCATCAAGAGAAAATCAGAAGGTTGTCAGAAAACTGGGGAAAAAAAATAATCAAGAATGGAATTGGAGGCCAGGCACGGTGGCTCGCATCTGTAATCCTAGTACTTTGGGAGGTCAAGAGAGGCGGCTCACTTGAGGTCAGGAGTTCAAGACCAGCCTGGCCAACATGGCGAAACCCCACCTCTACTAAAAGTACAAAAAAATTAGCCAGGCGTGGTTGCGGGTGCTTGTAATCCCAGTTCCTTGGGAGGCTGAGGCAGGAGAATCACTTGAACCCGGGAGGTGGAAGTTGCAGTGAGTTGAGATCACACCACTGCACTCCAGCCTGGGAAACTCTGTCTCAAAAAAAAAAGGTAAGTAGTTCTTCCCAAATTTATATATAGGTTCAATTCAACCCCAAAGAAAGGCTCAGCAAGTTATTTTATGAATACTAACAACATTTGTATGGAAATGCAAGAAACTAGGACGAGCCAGGATCTTGCTGAAGAAAAAAATGTGTTAAACCTGCTACTAGACACCAAGATGTTTCACCAAGTGTGGTACTGGCACAACCAACCAACAGAACACAGTCCAAAAAACACACAGACATATATATACACACAATTGACGACAAATATCACAATGTAAAACAGTGGGGAAAGGACGGTGTTTTCAAAAATAATTCTACATTAATTGTATGAAAAAAAGGAATCTGACATCTACCTCATACAAAGTAGACACTCATTCCAATGAAAGAGACGTAAATATGAATGCCAAAACAATAAATATTTTAAAAGATAACAAAAGAGATTATCTTCATGACCTCGAAGTAGGAAAAGTCATCTAAAATAGTACACAACACCAACAAATAAACTTAATAAACGAATCTAGGGATTGGTAAACTTTTTCTGTAAAAAGTCAGACATTAAATATTTCACCAGGCACAGTGGCTCACACCTGTAATCCCTTGGGAGGCCAAGGCAGGCAGATCACTTGAGGCCAGGAGTCCGAGACCAGCCTGGCCAAGTGAAACCCCATCTCTATTAAAATACAAAATTAGCTGGGTGTGATGGCACGTGCCTGTAATTTCAGCTACTTGGGAGACTTAGTCAGGAGAATTCCTTGAGCCCTGAACGCAGAGGCTGCAGTGAACCAAGATCACACCACTGCACTCTAGCCTGGGTGACTGAGTGAAACTCTCTCCAAAAAAAAAAAGAAAAAATGAGATATTAAACTTGGGGCTTTGCAGGCCAAAAGGTTCCTGTCACAACTAGTCAACTCTGTCACTGAAGCCACAGATTAAATGTAAATGAGTGAATGAGCAGAGAGGTGTCAGGATTGTGAAGGGGACAAGATGGCAGCTTCAGGAGTGCTGGCAATGTTCGTTTTGACCTATGTATTCATTACTTGCACCATGGATTTGTAATAATTCATTAAGTTCCATATTTAAAATTTAGGGGGTTTTCTATCTATCTGCTACACATGTAGAAATAAGATTCATTAAAAATTAAAATACGTAATCCCAGCACTTTGAGAGGACAAGGCAGGTGGATCACGTGGTCAGGAGACTGAGACCAGCCTGGCCAACATGGTGAAACCCTGTGTCTACTAAAAATACAAAAATTAGCTGGGCGTGGTGGCGTGTGCCTGTAATCTCAGCTACTCGGGAGGCTGAAGCAGGAAAATCGCTTGAACTAGGGAATCGGAGGTTACAGTGAGCCGAGATCGCACCACTGTGCTACAACCTGGTGACAGAGCAAGACTCTGTATCAAAAAAAAAATAAATAAATAAATACATTTTAATTTATTGGCCCTGCACACTGGCTCACGCCTGTAATCTCAGCACTTTGAGAGGCCAAGGAGGGCAGATCACGAGGTCGAGATATCAAGACCATCCTGGCCAACATGGTGAAACCCCATCTCTACTAAAAATACAAAAATTAGCCAGGTGTGGTGGCACATGCCTGTAGTCCCAGTTACTCGGGAAGTTGAGGCAAGAGAATCGCTTGCAGCCGGGAGGTAGAAGTTTCAGTGAGCCAAGATCACGCCACTGTACTCCAGCCAGGCGACAGAGCAAGACTCCTTCTCAAAAAATAAATAAATAAATAAATAAATAATTAAAATACATGTTAACTTAATTGATCAAACACTACATACAAAAGAAAATCGGAACCTGTGTAAAGTAAAAATGGAAAAAGCAGTTTGACTGAATAGGTTGTACTCATTTCAGGGCTATCACTGGAAGGTTATTCACTGTGGGTCTCTATGCATCTGCCAGGAAGTCTTTGTGTCTTCAGAAGAGTCAGTCTGTCTGTATCCAGTGTCTTCCTTTCTGCCACGGTTGTTGGAGACATAAGAACGTATGAAGCTCAACTTACTGACTCTAACTTGGCCCTGCTATTGATCTGTTATTTTCTGTTCAATTTTTATCTATTACTAATTTCTCATCTTAACATATTGGCTCTTGGCCCAGCACGGTGGCTCACGCTTGTAATCCCAGCACTTTGGGAGGCCTAGGATTGACTGAGCTCAGGAGTTCACGACCAGCCTGGGCAACACGGTAAAACCCGTCTCTAATAAAATGTAAAAAATTAGCCAGGCGTGGCGGCGTGCGCCTGTAGTTTCAGCTACTCAGGAGGCTGAGGCAGGAGAATTGCTTGAACCCGGGAGGCAGAGGTTGCAAAGGTAGCAGTGAACCGAGATGGTGACACTGCACTCCAGCCGGGGTGACAGAGCGAGACTCTGTCTCACAAAAAAAAACAACAAAAACCAACAACAACAAAAAAAAACCCTATTGACTCTTACAAATTTCACAAAGTCCACTGCAAAATAAAGTAGGGAATTAATAAACAACTTACCTTGTTCATTTTGTTCTGTTCTTGGAAAGATGGAGACAACTCTGAAGATACAGCTGAGTCAGAAAAAGAGGAATGGGGTCATGAAAGATTAGGCCCGCCTGGCAACTCCCAGATTCTTCTGCCCCAAGAAGCCATACACACCCACTAGGTAAAATGCTCCCCCTGGGAAAATATCAATGTCCTCTGACACTTCAGAATAGGCGGTAGAAATGGTGAAAGACCACCCTAATATAACTCCAACATAATCATGTGGCTCTTGGGCACAAGATTTTTCACCTGGTGAAAGTAAATATTTACTTCCTTAAGGATTTCAATCTGCCTCGGTGTTCACAAAAAAATGCAAAATGATAATATTGGCCAAACAAGTTAATACATTTAATGAAGGAACATTAACACTAAAACCATTGTAAAAAATAGGACTAAGCTATCGATTTTCCAGTAATATTACTTAACCTCTGGTGAGTGACTCCACAGAAAGCCACAAGCGGCAGTGCTTCAAGGAAAAAATCAGTTTTAATTTCTTCATCTAACTTTGTTATTTCTCAAAAGGATGTTTTAAACTTGCTTTGACATGTGGAAAAGTAGACAATACTGGCTCAGGGGTCAGGAGATGTGACTTTCAGTCTTCCCTACTAACAAACTGTGATCCTGAACAAGTCATTAACCCTGACAAACAAACAAAAAAAATTTTTTCTTCTAACAAATGAAGCAAAATTAGGAAATTCTTTTTTTTTCTTTTTTTTTCTTTTTTTTGAGATGGAGTTTCGCTCTTGTTGCCGAGTCTGGAGTGCAATGGTGCGATATCGATCTCGGCTACCTGGAACCTCCGCTTCCCGGGTTCAAGCAATTCTCCGCCTCAGTAGCTGGGATTATAGGCATGCGCCATCATGTATGGCTACTTTTCCTATTTTTCTAGTAGAGAGGGGATTTCGCCACGTTGGTCAGGTTGGTCTCGAATTCCTGCCTTCAGGTGATCCACCGGCCTCGGCCTCCCAAAGTGCTGGGATTACAGGAGACAGCCACCCAGCCAGGCCAAAATTATGTAATTCTTTAAGATCCTTCCTGAGTGCAAGATCAAGTCAGGACAGAGGAACAGCAAATACCAAGATGCAGTGATGGACATGACCGGAGGGCAGTTTGGGACTTAGGATGAATGCAGAACTGGGAAGGGAGTTCGTAGATCGGGGGGTGGTGGTGCGACTGCACCCGCCCTTCCCCACCCAGGTACCGCGCCGCCCTAGCACACGCGCACACGCTAGACCAGACAACTGCCCCTCCCGCAGGGCTCAGCGCGCGGATCGCGCAAGCGCACATGCCCTCCTCCGGACCCCAGCAAACGGGGCAACACACGCCGCGAAGCCCGCTCCGTACAGAGGCTGCGCCTTTGACGAACCGGCCTAGCGTCCTGGCAGACATGCTGCAGCCCCGCCCTCCCCGGCTTCCCCTGTGAGGTCCCCGGTACTCTTGGCCACCACCTGGCACTGGTCCCCTGCCGCCCGCCCCCGGAGTCGCGCGAGGTACTCTCTCCGTCCCTGCCCAACCCGCCTAGGCTTACCCCGCTTCCTCATCCGGTTGCATTAGCCATAGAAGAGCGCACAGACCCTTGAAATCCCGGGACCGCCTCCCACGCAAAACCTGAGACAAACAAAAGGAAAGGCGGAAACGCAAAATCGCAGAAGAGGTAGCCGGCGGCCCAAGCATGCGCAGAGCCCACGCGCAAAGCCTGGCGCTGTAGGCGCCCAACCTGGAAACTAACTTTCCCGTGAGGCAGCGCGAGCAGGCCTTCGGGATTGGCGGAGAGGTGCCCCCGCTAGGCAGTGAGCGGATGCGGTCTGAATTGGTGCGGGAGCTGCCCGCAGCCCTGGCTCTCCTGGGGCGCCCCAAAGGGATGCACTGAAGGGAGGTCTGTGGGCAGTGAGTGTGCAGTTTAGACACAGACGCGTCAAGGAAGGGACAGGTGCGTGTCAGTTTCACGTTAAATGTTAGGAAGTAGATCTCGATTCAGTTTAAAAGACTGACACTATCGGCGATTCTTTGGGGGGAGCGGAGGAAAGGGGGAGGTGCCTCGGAAAGCTACTTCATCAAAATCGTTAAAGCAATAAACGGGAATTGTAGCTCAGTGAGAAAATAGACATAATCTAGAAGAAGAAAATAAATGTCACGTATGATTTCCTCTGTGACATTAAAATTGCTTGACTATATGGAAATACATTTAGTCTCTCTGTACCTTTCTTAGGAAGACAAAATTCCTAAAAGAACATCAACAAATTTTTGTATTTTTTCTTTGATCTTTAGTGCATTGTGTACTTTACAAAAGCATTCTCAACTTTATCCACAGTAAGTAAAAACCTAAATGAACAGACAGTATACGTTTTAAAAAGCAGGAAAAAATGCCTGAGAAATAGCTATATATAGCTGTATCTATCTATACATATAATATTGCTCTATTCAAAGTAGTTTGGCACCTGCTCCATGGAAATAAGACACCATGATTAAGCGTGTTCAAATACAGCATTTCAAAACAGTGAGGGAAAGAATGGAGTATTCCAAAGAGCATGTCATTCTGAACAATTTGGAATATAGAGATATACATAGATCACACGTGATAAAATTAACATGTATACAATATTGAAACATTTAAGCCAGTAAACGAGTATAAATTTTTGAAAATTGACATGTGGGCCAGGCACAGTGGCCAACACCTGTAATTCTGGCACTTTGGGAGGCGGAGGCAGGAGGACCACTTGATCCTTGGAGTTCAAGACCAGCCTGGGCACTATAAGATGGGACCCCCATCTCTACAAAAAATTAAAAATAACAATTAGCCAGGGATGTAGGCAAGCGCCTGTGATCCCAGGTACTCAGGAGGCTGAAGTTGGACGATCACTTGAGCCCTGGGTTGCAGTAAGCCATCATGGCACCACTGCACTCCAGCCTGGGTGACAAAGTGAGACTTTGTCTCCAAAAAAAAAAAAGAAAAGGGATGTGATGCCAAAGACAGCAACTATAAATTTAGTATCAGTTACATTTTATAATAGAGAAAAATAAGCAGCTCCATTCCAGCAAAACTTTTAAAGTCCATTATGATAATTGAAAGAAATGCAAATATGGCCAGGCATGGTAGCTCATGCCTGTAATCCCAGCACTTTGGGAGGCTGAGGCAGGCAGATCATGAGGTCAAGAGATCCAGACCATCCTGCCCAACATGGTGAAACCCCTTCTGTACTAAAAATACAAAAATTAGCTGGGCGTGGTGGTGTGCACCTGTAGTCCCAGCTACTGGGGAGGCTGAGGCAGGAGAATTGCTTGAACCCGGGAGGTGGAGATTACAGTGAGCCAAGATCAGGCTACCGCACTCCAGCCTGGTGACAGAGTGAGACTGCGTAAAAAAAAAAAAAAAGCAAATATTTGGGTAAAAATATGTGAAACTTTTATTGAAATTTACATTTTTAAATTTATGCTTTATATACTGAAAAGTTCACTTTATTTGGTGCATAATTGTATGAGTTTTGACAAATGCATAGATTTGTGTAACCACCACCACAAGCAAGATACAAAATTGTTTCACCTCTGTCAATAAAATTCCTCCATGCTACCTTTTTAAAGTCAGATTCTCTCACCACTCTTAGCCTCTTGCAACCACTATCTATTCTTTGGGCCTATATGTTTGCCTTTTTAGAATATTACATAAATGGAATCATATAGTATGTAGTCTTTGAATCTGGTATATTTTACTTAACACAATGCAATTGAGATCCTTCCGTGTTGTTTTGTTGTACCAATACCTCTGTTTGTTTTTCTTGCTGTTAGAAACAAGTGCCCAGTACCTCAAAGAAAACCAGCACATAGGCAGAAAATTCCTAAGCAGGGCAAATTTACTTCTGCAGAAGGGTGCAGCTTGCACGAGTCACGATCACAAGAGTACACTCAGAGGGGTGGGGCAGGGGTTTTTATCCCTGATGCAGTTCCTAGCACTTCTGTGTCCCTTCCCCATTGGCTGGGGTTGGACCTCACAATCGAAGCTAACTCAATTGGCTAAGGTTTAAAATTGAATAAGTCTATTAGGCGGGAAGGAAGTGGCACTGTCTATTACTAGGTGGGAAGGCATATCTGGACTTGTCTGGGCACGGCAAAGGCGGGAAGGTTGTTTACAGAACAGGTAGCTAGGAGACAAGTACAAGGAAGTAGGTCTTAAGCAACAAAGAACAGGGAACTAATGCTTTTTGAAGAGGAATGTATCACCTCTGACATTGCTGACTCCTATTTCTTGGTATGGATTTACCAGTTTCCTTATCCATTCCCCTGTCCAGAGATATACAAGTTGTTTCCAATTGGGGAAATTGTAAATAAATAAAATATTTTTAAGTTTAAGATTTGAAAAGACTGAAAAAAACACTAATATACACCTATGGTATGGGCTTGGGGAAATGCTTATTCCCAGTGTATTAGTCAGGATTCTCCAGAGAAACAGAACCAATAGGAGGGAGTAAGAGAGAAAGAGACATTGATTATGAGAAATTGGTTCACATGACTGTGGAGGCTAAGAAGTCTCACAATCTGTCATTTGCAAGCTGGAGATCCAGAAATGCTGGTGGTGTAATTCTGGTATGAGTCCAAAGGCCTGAGAACCAGGGAAGCCAATGTTGTAAATCCCAGTCCAAGGACAGAAGAGGATGAGATGAAATGTCCCAACTCAACAATGAGGCAGAAAATATGGGTTAATTCCTCCTTCCTCTGCCTGTGTTCTATCCAGGCCCTCAGTGGATTGAATGATGTCCATACACATGAGGACGGCGATCTGCTTTACTGAGTCCAGTGATTCAAAAGCTAATCTAATCTGTAAACACCCTCATAGACGCACCCATAAGTGATGTTTAATCTGGACACCGTGTTACCAAGTCAAGCTTACACACAAAATTAACCATCACAGCTATACTTTTTTTTTTTTTTTTTTTTTTTTTTTGAGACGGAGTTTTGCTCTTGTTGCCCAGGCTGGAGTGTAATGGCATGATCTTGGCTCACTGCAACCTCTGCCTCCCAGGTTCAAGTGAGGCTCCTGCCTCCGCCTCCAGAGTACTTGGGATTACAGGTATGCACTACCACACCTGGCTAATTTTTTGTGTTTTAACTAAAGATGGGGTTTCTCCATGTTGTTCAGACTGGTCTCGAACTTCTGACCTCAGGTGAGCCACCAGCCTCGACCTCCCGAAGTGCTGGGATTACAGGCATGAGCCACCACACCCAGCCACAGCTATTCATTTTTATTATGAATTTGATTAAATCTGGAGGCTCATTTTTTCCTCTCATTTCTTCTTCTTTTTTTGTACCTTTTCAGATTTTATATTTAGTTGACACCTAATAATTGTGCCTATTTGGGGGATATAGAATGATATTTTGACGTGTATAAAATGTGTAATGATCAAATCAGGCTAATTAGCATATTCCTCACCTCAGACATTTGTGTGTGTGTGTGTGTGTTGTAAACATTCAAAATCCTCTCTTCCAGCTTTTTGAAAATATACAATAAATTACAGTCAATCATATTTATCTGACAGGGCTGTGGAACACCAGAGCTCATTTCTTTTCTCTAGCTGTAATTTTGTATTCATATACCAACCTTTCCCCACCCTCCCCTCCCCATTACCCCAACACCCTCTAATGCCCGTAATTCTACTCACTTCCTCTATGAGCCCCAATTTTTTTAGCTCCCAAATATAAGTGAAAATGTGCAGTAATTATCTTTCTGTGTCCGACTTATTTCACTTAATGCATCCATGTTGTTGCAAATGAGAGGATTTCATTTTTATAGCAGAATAATATTCCAGTGTGTTTATATACCAGATTTGCTTTTTCCATTCATCTGTTTGTGGATGTTTAGGTTGATATTATATCTTGGCTATTGTGAATAGTGTTGCTATAAACACAAGAGTGCAGGTATCCCTTTGAAATATGGATTTCCTTTCCTCTGGATATGTGCCCAGCAGTGTGATTGTTGGATTGTGTGGCAGTTCTATTTTATTTTTTGAGAAACTGCCACACTGTTTTCTATACTGGTTGCACCAATTTACATTCCCACCAACAGTGTCTAAGAGTTCCCTTTTCTATGCATCCTTACCAGCACTTATTTTTTGTATTTTTTATAGTAGACATTCTAACTTGTGTGAATGATACTGCATTGTGATTTTGATTGGCATTTTTCTGATGATTAGCGATGTTGAACATTTTTCATACATTTGTTAGCCATTTGTATGTCTTCTTTTAAGAAATATCTATTCAGATCCTTTGCCCACATTTTAATCAGATTACTTGTTTTTGTTTTTGTTTTTGCTGTCGAATTGTTTGAGTTATTTGTATATTCAGGATATTAGTCCCTTTTGGATAGTTTGCAAGTATTCGCTACCATTCTGCAGGTTGTTTCTTCACTCTCATAATTGTTTCCTTTGCTGTGCAGCTTTCTAGTTTAATACAGTCCCACTTCTCTCTTTTTGTGGTGGTTGTCTGTGCATTTATTTATTTATTTATTTAGAGACAGGGTCTCACCCTGTTGCACAGGCTGGAGTGCAGTGGTGTGATTATAGCTCACTGCAGCCTCTACCTCCTGGGCTCAAGTGATCCTCCTGCCTCAGCCTCCTGAGCAGCTGGGATTATAGGCACCCACCACCATGCCTGGCTAAATTTTGTATTTTTAGTAAAAATGAGGTTTCAC